TCTGTCTGTTTGTCTGTTGGCTGGTTGTGGTATTCAGGATGGACGCGAGTATGAAACCACCAGAACTAGATAATCACAACTACTCTTTCTGGAAGGCTCGTATGGAGATATATCTTCAAGCTCAAGGTACCAAGGTCTATCGCACTGTTCTAACTAGGTGGAGTCCCCCTACTATTCGAAATGCTGAAGGAGTCGAAGAATTAAAACCTATGGAGACGTGGACTGACGAAGAAATGAATGCCTCTGATCTAAACAACAAAGCATTAAACTCAATTGTTGGATCTCTTCATGAATCTGTGTTCACACTTGTAACATGAGTGAAAGATGCTAAACGAGTATGGGAAATTCTTGAAACCAGGTTTGAAGGTACAAGTGATGTCAAGCAGTCAAAGTTACAAATGGTGTTGTCAGAATTCGAAGCACTCAGGATGATCGAAGACGAAACCATTTCGACCTTCCACAGTAGAGTTCAGAACTTGATGAATCATGCCTCAGTTCTTGGGGAACCATTCACTGATGAGAGAGTAGTCAAAAAGATCCTTAGATCTTTACCTAAAAGATTTCGAATGAAAGTAACTGCTATTCAGGAACACACTGGTTGGGAAAAGAAGACTGTTGGAGAACTCATGGGAAGCTTACACACATATGAACTGGAAGTTCTGGCTGATGATGATATTGGTAGCAACCGGAAAGGAAAGTCAGTAGTTTTTGTTGCTGAGGCTGATCGAGAATCTGATACAGATGATATAGATGATGAAACCTTAGTTCTTCTCACAAAAAACTTCAAGAAGATCTTAAAAGGTTTCAACAGAAAAGGTCAAGGTCAAGCTACCAGAACCCAATATAAAGGCAACAATACCTCATATCAAAAGGGTGAGACAGTTCCTTTCTCACAAAACAGTCACACTCAAACTGGGCGAACAAGACAGAACAGAAACAGTACCACAGAAATAGGAAAACCTCTCAATCGATCAATAAAGTGCAGAGAATGTGAAGGGTATGGTCACATACAGGCTGCATGTGCGACATATCTAAAACGGAAAAAGGCTATGTCTGTGGCTACTCTTAGTGATGATGAGGAGGAATCATCAAATGATCAATCAGAGGAGAATGTGGGAAACTTTGTAGCCTTCTTCACTGCTACAGATCATCAGTCAGACGAAGAACCATCGGATGAAGAATCATACTGGTGGTCCCAAAAGGGGTGTGGTAAAAGTCTAGAGGGGGGGGGGGTGAATAGACTTTTAAACTTTTTGCGAATGCAACAATTGCTAAGTCGACAGAGATATCAAAACTCTTAACCAGATTGTTAGAGTCTTGTACGCAGCGGAATAATTAAAGTGTGTGTGATGATTGTGTCAAGTATATCAACGTGATAAGCAGTAAGTAAATAAAGCAGTAAATGACACAAGGCAATTTATAGTGGTTCGCGAGGTGATGTAATCCTCCTACTCCACTTGCTCTTTTCTCCAAGAGCTAATTCACTATATCCACCACTTCTTGGTTCCAAGATACAATGAATTTCCGTGATCTAGTGCTTTGATCCACACTAATCACGCCCAGTGCCTCCGACACTGCTGCTTCGGATTTCACAGCTCCGTGCTACTTTCCAGGATTTCACAGCTCCGTGCTACTTTCCCCCGTCTTCCACGATCCGGTCGACGTATCCCGTGATCTGGTGCTTTGATCACCAAGCCCACACCAATCACACCCAGTGTTCTCCAACACTGCTGTTTCGGATCTCACAGCTCCGTGTGACAATCCAGGATTTCACAACTCCGTGCTACTTTCCCCCCGTCTACGACGTCTTCCTTGATCTAGTGCTTTGATCACAAAGCCCGCACTAATCAAGCCCAGTGTTATCCAACACTGCTATCTCACTTGTTTGTAGAAAAACAAGTTTCACTGCTTCCAACTTTTGAGACTTCTTGAATAGATCTTCAATGTGCAGCAAGTCTCTCAATGATGAAGAATTAAACACTCTTGAATATTTTCTCTTTGAGCTCTCTGAGTGTTTTTTTCACTTTGAATATATTCTCACTTGTAAGCTTATTCAAGCAGATTGGATTCGTATGATCTTCTTGTTCGTAGTATTGGAAGTGCTCTTCATCTGCTTCATTCTTCATCCTTTTATAACTGGTTTTGAGAAGTTGTCCGTTGGAAAAAGACAATCTCAATTTTAAATTGTAGATCTTTCAAATTTGAATTCCAAATCTCAGATCTGAATTCTTGTAGCCTTTTGCAGAAGATCTGTAGCTTTTTCAGAGGATCATATTAAAAATAATATCTCTCTAATATTTCGGCCGTTGCTCTGTATGTAGTCCATGTGAAGATACTTAAAATATTTCTGATGCAGATCTTATCTTCACGTGAAGGCTCTTTAAAATAATCTAATGTAGATCTTGCCTTCTTGAACTTCCATCTTCTGTGTATTTTATTTTTCTCTGTAAGTTGGCTACTGATGAAGTATTTCGGCCACTGAGATGTCTGGGTCTCATTTTGATGGTGAGATTTTAATCCTTGATTGAAACTTAATCTCCAACTTCAGCACTTACTATTTATAGCTTTTGAAACCTCAGCTCCAACTTCAGCTCTTGCTATTTATGGCTTTGGAACCTTAGCTCCAACATCTGCTCTTACTTCATATTGACTTGACTTATGAAGACTTTGCAAACCGCATCTCTTACTTCATTTGCAAACCGCATCTCTTACTTCATCTCCAATTATTTAATTGATTATTTCGAAACTGATTTACTTCATATTGACTTGACTTATGAAGACTTTGCAAACCGCATCTCTTACTTCATCTCCAATTATTTAATTGATTATTTCGAAACTTCATTTCGAAACTGATTTTGGAACCTCTGCTCCAACCTCTACTCTTAACTAGTTTCGAAACCTCTTTTGAAACCTCAGCTCCAACCTATGCTCTTAGCGCATCTCTCACTTTTATTATTTAATTGATTTTCAAACTTCTCTCCTTTTAGTTTCGAACTTCTTTGCAAACCTCAGCTCCTACTTCATCTCTTTGGAAGAGATTTAAGGCTTCTTTATAAAATTGTAAGGAGTGAGTTTCAAACCTGAGACCTTACGATTTCTACATCAAGCTTCCATCCATCTCAGCTGTACAGATTATTAGTAAATATTGCATTCCTCTTGATGTACTTCTTTCTTTCCATAGATGCTTGAGCTTCAAGATAACTTCATGAAATTTGTGGTTGCTTCTCGTTTTCTTCCATATGAGATTCATCAATATGACTTTCATCTTGAGTTGGGCGTGTGGGCTATTTTGCATACATATCATACGCATACATCTTCTTCTTTGTATTTTCCCTTTCTTCATATTTGTTAATTTTCCTTTTGTGGTCTATGACACGCCTAGACTTAACAAATAAAATTGGGGATTCTAAAATACAATTTTGGCATATCAAAATCTATTACAATTATTCCTAACAATTTCCCCCCTTTTGATAATGCCAAAATCCTATACTCAGTCATTGGCTTTAAGTCTTTTCAAAAATATTTTTGCTCAATTTTATTTGACAAAGCCATGATGAGTTTAACAAAATATATTCTAGGAAAATTAAATTTTACTCATGAATTAATTTTAGACAAGGTCCTAATACGCATATTGCATTTTTTAGTTCTAGTCATTTTTCTCTTATGTTATGCGTTTTACATGCTTATCTTTTAATTCACATACTAGTTGCAAGTTAAGAAATTAAAAACAGATATAGACCACTTTAGGAAATTAACTTAACTTGCACGATCATAATCAGGGAAAATACTTCAAAAATTTCGAAACATGTTTTACAGAGAGTTTCGAAAGAATAAGATCAGATTACCTCTTCTGCGTCTTATCACTTCTTCCGTTCTTCAAAACATCTTTGATGTGTTCCCTCATCTTGTACACATCATTCTTAATACGTTCACAGAAGAATTCCTTGTTGAATTGTCCGGCGAGGTAATTCTCATATGCTTCTTTCAGAGTTGATCCCGGTATGACTCCAGCTTCAATCCATTCAATGCACTCATTGAAGCTTCTACCGTGACCAAGAGAATTTCCTGTGGTTCTAGTGAGTTTTTGTAACTCAAACCACATATCCATCTTCTTTCTCTTTCTCTGTTCTTCTTTATTCTTTTCACTTACCCAGTGAGCTACTTCAGCTGGGGATTGCTTCTTAATCATGGAAGGTGCGTTCTCTTTGGTCCACACGATAGATGGTATATCGGTTTTTGAGCAATTGAACCAATCATCAGATTTTCCTTTGGATGAACCTGCACCTAAACCAGAGTTAGAAAATTGAGCAAAACCTAACACACTTGGAGATGTTTGGCGTCCACGGCCTCGGCCTCGGCCACTTGGTGGTGTAGATTGTGTTTGCCCAATAAAATACTCATGTTGTTGAGCTGCCATATGACTGAGATATTCTTCCCCCCTTTTGGCTTTATCAACAAGAAAATTGAGAGTACGGGTATCTCGGTATTGGTTGGCCATCACATGCTTGATTCCATCATTTGCCACGTCAGAAGTATTCTGCAAAGTTTCCAACTTCTGAGTCATAGATGATAGCTCAACTTCAAGCTGGTTGATTCTTCGTTCTTGTTCTTGAATGGCCTTCAGTTGCCTGATATGTCTTTCATAGTTGATCTTCTCGGCTTCTTCCTTCTCTTTCTTCAAGTTTTTGATTATTTCAACCAAACTTGCAGTGATATTAGCCTTCAAACGATCTTCAGTTCTTTCAATCTTGGATTCCAAAGACACATGCTTTTCGAACATCTGTGTGAAATTTGACCTTGTGTTGTCAAGTTCTTGCATTGCTAAGTGTCCTTGATCTCTCAAAGTGGTTCCGATCTTATGGCATATCGTATCACCAGATTCGGATACTTTGGCAAATAAGGTTGTCAAAAGATCATCTTCATCTTCTTCAGGTCGATGATGTGCTGTCCAGTTCAGATTATGTAAAGATCTGAGAAACTTCCTCCTTGAATCTGCTAGAACTGGAGTTTGTAGGCTTCTCCCTTCAGATGATTCGGCCATGATGGTATTTTCTCGACAACTGGTTTCTTCTTCTGTTTCAGTATTGACTTCCTCTTCTCCTTGATAATTATCAATGTCTTGTGAGAAGCTAGGATTTGAAAGAATTGGTTGCTCAGACAATGGCCTGTCTTCTAGTGGGGATTGGAAGACTGTAGTAGCTTTGACAGAGACATTTTGTACTGCCACTTCAATTAATTGTTCCCCCCAATTAATTCTCTATTTTCAGTCTGAACTTCTTCTCTTACTGGTTCTCCCATCTCTTCTCTATTCTCATCTCCATCATCTGCTCTAACTTCTTCTCTTACTACGTCAACATCATCTCTGGCAGAGTCATTCAATTCAGCTTGTGGACCCTCAACATTACTCAAAATTTGGTCATTATCAGTTTGTCTTTCGGCTTCAGTGACATCAACATTGACCAAATTTAATTCACCAATCACAGCAGTAGACACGGGTGCACACACAGATATAATATCCACTTCATTCCTTTCTCTTAATGCATCAAGCAGATTATCAGCAATATTAAGAGAAGGTTCACCTGGATTGTGATGAGTATCCTTAATTGATCTTTGCAGCGCAATCTGTAATTGAGCTTCATTTATCTTTTCCAATTGAGCCGGCGAGATTTGTGTCACATTTTCTTCGGCCACAGCTGCAACAGATTTGCCTCGTGCATTTTTTTCATCAAGTTTTAATCTGTAAACTTGATCAATGTTCATTCTGAGTGCCTCAAGTATTGAATCTGTTCCGTACCATTCCAAAGCAAATTCTTCACTTCCTATCAATTCCGAAGTGGTCTTTTGGATGAATGAATGATATTTTTCAGTTCTCCAATTTATCCATTCTTGGACTCTGTACTTCTCATTCAACAAATCTGGATCATCTCGGATGGTGTTGAACACTACCGGTCCGGCACTTGCTTCTCCTGTAGATTGACTTGAAATTCTTCTTTGCAGCTCGTTGGAAACTCGCACTTCAACTCCTGCTAGTTCCATCCGTGTTGTGTCATCAATCGGTTCGGTTGGCAATCCTGGATGACATACATTTTGAGCTTCATTCTCGATCAACCCTTGAAAAGGTATAACTACCATAGCAGTGCTTGTGGCTTCTTGTTCTCTGATGCTCGGATTATTGGACCCCATAAAATTACTTGCAGTTGATGCGGCTCTGTTGCTTCTGATTTGGGATCCTCTTGATTGAGGTGTTTTTGTGCTTGCACAAGTTCCTCCTTTGGATGCCTTTCTCTTCTGACTTTTCTTCCCATAATCTGCTGAATATTTCCAGAACAAATACCTATAGATTCCAACACTCTTGTGTTTTCTCAAAGGTATTTTCTTCTTCCTTAGAATTTCTCCAATGACAAGTCCATAGCCTACACCTTGAAGGAATTGATCTCCTTTGAGTGAACTTCCGGTTGGCTTTGCGGCGAGAATAAATCCTATGATTTTTGTGAAAATGTAGTTCGCCCAATTGAACTTAATTCCACTCATGATTCCGTTCATCAAGCAAATATACGGAGCAGAGAATTTATTCAACGTTCCCAATTTATTGTCCAAAGCTTTGTAAATCACGTCCAACAGCATCTCATATAAAGCTTCAAGAGATTCTTCTCATCGCATAAATCTGGTATTTCTGGTGCTTTTGGGCCTCGGATTTCATCCCAGAAATTTTGAAGATCATAATGATGAGTATCCACAAGAGTTTGGGAATTTGTAAGGTTGAAACAGCTTCTGCTGTCTTCTTCTGAAATTTCAACTCGCGTGCTGCCAACAGTAGATAGAATTCGGCCATTGTTCACGTTTGCATGGAGATAGAATTCTACTACATCTTCTTCGAATGCTCCAGAATACTTGTAAGAGAGAAAATCGTATAGTCCACAGTCCTTCAGGGCTTGTATGATTTTTCCGGCTAGAACTTTGTCTTGTGCTCAATTCAAGAAGTATTCTTCATTGAGAACCATTTCTACCGTGAGTTGTTTCACAAGCACAGTCAAATCCTTGGATTGTTCTGTTTGCGTCATTGTGATTGATTCGGACAGATTGAGTCGGTTGGGAGAGAGATTTAGGCTTTCTGAGTGATCTTAGATTTTTCTTTTGGTAGAGAAGATGAATAGTTTTGTATGTGGGAGGGTTTTAGAAGGTTTTTCGAGAGAGAGAGAGGGTATGGACGATTAAGTCCTTTGTGTAAGGGTTCAAAAAGTGATTCTTTAAGGATCGATGTGTCTTTTAAGTGAGGGTGGGTTATGAGAGAGAAAAAGCAATCATTGCTTAGACAGCAGCATTTAATGCTCACAAGTTTTTAGAAATCCTTTAAGCACGTAAGAGATTTCTGAATAGACACATAAGGTGGAGATTGAGTAGGAGAGGAGGTTTAGGATTTGATTTTGAAAGGAGATTAGGTAGGAGATCAGGTTGGAGAATCGGTTTAGGAAGAGGATTCTCGAACAAACTGGTTAGCTTTCTCACAAAATAATAAATAATATCACAAATATCTCCATCTTTCAGAAATTGAATTTTCTTTAAAATAAACAACAACCACACGATTAAATTAAAACGCTTTGGTGTTATCAAATGCCTTTTAGGATTTAGTTACCAAAAATAATTAGGAAACTAACACATTTATACTTTTATATATATATATATATATATATATATATATATATATATATATATATATATATATATATATATATATATACACGTACACGGTAATACATATATAGACAACACAAATTTTGGAAAATAATTAATTTTGTAACTTTTTCCCAAAAACAAATTTTAGAAACCAAAAATAACTTGATACCAATTTTTGAAAAACCTTTTTCGTATGGCAATTTCTAAAACAACACAAATAACAATTAAACATATATGGCACATGCAATTACCGTAACAATTATTTATCATGCCACAAAATAATTTAAACAACTTAAGATCAAACAGGCATGTAAATAAATTATTCACAAAGACCACACCTGTACGAAAGATTCACTTGCATTCCAAGTAACAAATTAAACTAACATGCGATTAACCTCAAAAATATCGAAAATTGCATATTTAGCAAACAATTTTGCATGGCACATAAACACACGTAAAATATCACATGCAAATATACAGACAAATAGATAAGACATATTACAACATTATTCACGTAAAAATTCAAATAAAAACATGAACATACAATACTAAATAAATTAAATTGAGCATGCGTATCAACTTAAACTATGGAAATTAAGTTCAGTGATACTTAGCTCATTTCGATCATTCCCAATTCGTGCCTTAACGTAGCATATCTCGTTTCGCATAAAGGCTTCGTGAGAATGTTTGCAACTTGGTTCTCCGTAGGGATATACTCGATTTTTAGATCTTTCTTTTCAACACGATCCCTTATGAAGTGATGTCGAATGTCGATGTGTTTGGTTCTTGAGTGAAGCACCGGATTGTGAGTAATTGCAATTGCACTAGTATTATCACAATAAATACTAACGTCGTCACAATTTACTCCATAATCCTTCAATTGTTGCTTCATCCACAATATTTGAGCACAACAACTCCCTGCAGCAATGTATTCGGCCTCGGCGGTACTAGTTGCGATGGAATTTTGCTTTTTGCTAAACCAAGAAACAAGCCTTCCTCCCAAGAATTGGCATGTCCCGGAGGTGCTTTTTCTGTCTATTTTACAACCTGCAAAATCCGCATCTGAGAAACCCGTTAGAGTAAAATCTGTACCTTTAGGATACCATAATCCTACATTGATCGTTCCTTTTAGATATCTTATGATCTTCTTTGTTGCGGTGAGGTGACTTTCTTTTGGATTTGCTTGGAATCTCGCACACACTCCCACAGCATAAGATATGTCTGGCCGGCTTGCAGTGAGATATAGAAGTGAACCAATCATTCCTCTATATTTTGTTTGATCGACATCTTTTCCTTCTTCGTCCTTGTCTAGCATCAATGACGTACTCATAGGAATTTTGATCGATGATTTCCCGTCAAGGCTAAACTTCTTGATCAAGTCATGGGTGTACTTGGCTTGATTGATGAAAATTCCTTCTTTCATTTGTTTGACTTGTAAGTCCAAGAAGTAATTTAGTTCACCCATCATACTCATTTCAAATCTTTTCTGCATAAGCTTAGAAAATTTCTCACACAAAGAATTGTTAGTGCTTCCAAATATAATATCATCAACATATATTTGCACTAATAAAATATGTTCACCATCTTGAATTCTAAATAAAGTTTTGTCAACTTGGCCTTTGGTGAATCCACAGCTTATCAAGAACATTGACAAGGTATCATACCAAGCTCTTGGTGCTTGCTTTAACCGATACAATGCCTTTTTAAGCTTGTAGACTTTGTCACCTTCGCCTTTTACCTCAAAACCTGGGGGTTGTTCGACATAAACTTCTTCTTCAAGTAATCCATTCAAGAATGCGCTCTTGACGTCCATTTGGTAGACGGTGAAGTCCTTGTGTGCAGCATAAGCTAGGAAAATTCTTATTGCTTCAAGTCTTGCTACGGGTGCAAAGGTTTCATCAAAATCTATTCCTTCTTCTTGCGAATATCCCTTTGCAACGAGCCTTGCTTTATTCCTAACAATTACGCCGTCTTCGTTGGCTTTGTTCCGGAAGACCCATTTTGTTCCTACAACATTATGATCACATGGTCTTGGAACAAGTTCCCAAACGTCATTCCTTTTGAATTGATCAAGTTCTTCTTGCATGGCGTCAATCCAACTTGGATCACTTAAAGCTTCGTCCACTTCTTTCGGTTCAATTTGAGATAAATAGCACGTGAACAATGCTTCCATGGTTGAGGATCTTGTCTTCATGCCATCGCGTACATTTCCAATGACTAAATCTGGAGGGTGATTTTTAAGCCATCTCAAATCTGGTTCAAATGGGTGCATGATACTGGATGGGTTCGCTGGTTGAGAATTGGAGTGCACTGTTCGAATTTCAGTATTAATTCCT